CCCCAAAACCCCAAAACCCCAAAACCCCGGACATTGCATTTGTAATGAAATACATTATTATAGAGTATTATAATAAAATGAGCAATTAAATCTCAGCTGAGACTCTTAGTAGAGAGGAGATTCAAGTCTTAATCTCTGTTTATTTTGGCACTATCTTTTTATTCTCAATTATTTATGCAATTATTCAGAGATCTCTTGATGCCAAAGCTCGACTTGATTCATATCAATAGTCTGAGTATATTCAAGAGTATGCTAGTTGGAAATCATAGCAAAGAGCTGATTTCATATCTAGGATCACATCATAGATCCACGCATTTATATCAATAGGACTCGCTGTTTATGCTTTATTCTTTACTTGGTATTTTATTACTAAACTTGCTTAAATAGGCATATAGTATTGTACCTAATGAAGAAGATTATGGTTACCAGAATTTCTTTGTTAGTGATTATTGCTTGATGAAGCAGTCCAATATTTGGCAAATGATTACACTTTGTTTTTCAAGCGGTTATTTGACTTTTGATATCTACATATGCTATGCCAAAATGTATCATCAATTTCACTTATCATAAATATAGCTAAGATCATAGTAAAATGCAAACATAGACTTATTTGCATCATATATGTGGAATTACTGGATTTATTATGGCTATTTTCTATGGCCCTGGCGGTGCTCTAATCATCTCAGTAAGTTAAGACTTTATAGTTTTCTTATTCAAATTATATTACTTAATAAACTTATCCTAAGAAATAAAAATGTAACAACCTGCTTTTATAGAATGTGCTATTGATCAATGAATTTTCAACATTCTTTTTGAATTACAGACAATTCCTCTTAGCATTTAAGAGAAATGATACTACACTTTACCAAGTGAATGCCATTGGATTTTTCTTTGCCTTCTTTTTCAGTAGAATTGTATTTAACACATTTGTTGGATATTGGATTATCAAAGCTATTTAACTCTCTATTAAGCAATATGGTGTAAGTTTATCTTTTTGCAATCACATACTTCATAATATCTCCAGCAATTCATTCTTAACATAAAATAGTTGACCTAATGGCCTCTTTGGAGATTGATTACTGCATTCTATCTACTTACTTTATTTGGAGTGATATATCTTTTGAATTTAGTCTGGTTTTGGGGTATTATTCAACATGTAAGGAGAAATATTTGCTCTAAACCAAAGGAAGAGAAGGAGGAATTGATCCACTATACTGAGGATAAAGACAACGATGCAAAATAAGGATTATTAAGGAAAAATAGTCATGGTAAAAAAGGTAATGATTTAGTGGACTTTTGAGTTTTATTAAAGGAGATTGAATAAATACTTATATTCATCCTGCATTGCAATTTCTTTAAGTTATTACTTTTATTAATACTTAATTTACTTTCCTTACTTTCTAAAAAGTTGAATCCATGGGGTTTTGGGGTTTTGGGGTTTTGGGG